AAATATATCGCTAAAATGACAATATTACATGACGGGAACTCAGTACAAATAAATGCCATAACACTAAAGACAGAGAAATACATAAGTAAATAATAAATATAATAGTACATTTCGATATGTTAACCACAGCATACAACGAATAACTACAATAATTTTGGAGAGAAGTGTTTTTCTGTAACACAAATGGATCAATGCCACAAAAAGTAACGTCACAGGTAAATTTCTAAAATTGGATATAATTCAAGAATAAGTTTATAATTATGTTATTTGGTGTATGTTATAACAACTACAAGAATATTAATGTAGAATTGTGTTAGTAATAGTGCAACTAACTATGTTGGCCTTTCTTCCAAATCAAACTGTATAAAACAAATAAATCCTGTGGACATAGTTGCTTTAAACTTAAATCATACAAATGAAGGGGATTTACTTTAACATACGAATAGAAAAAAAAAGATAGAATCACAACTACAAACGACAAGACACACAACAATATCTGATCAGTATTGACAATATACTGATTTCTATTTTCTTTGTCGTTGACATACATCACATTATTTTGGTTACCAGTTGTAATCATAGCTCTGAATATTTATATCTTCTCTGTCCCTGAAATGCCTTTGATTTTCTTCTTTAAATTTAAACTCTAATTTTTCTGATGAACATGAAATTAAAGTTGCAAGCGATATTGGTAATTTTTGTTTTCTTCTGATTGATTTGTTTGTTTTTTAACACTATGCTGTTAAACCATTTTTTCAGAAAAGGTAGGATTAAACGTTTGCAATTAATTTTACCCCCGCCATATTTTGTATGTTCCCGTCCGCAATCAGAAGCCTACAATTCATTTGTTATTATTGGTTGATGTATATATTTCTATTCATTATACAATGGGTCATTGGTCTTATCGCTTGAACTGTTAAACGTGTTGTTATGTCAATGAAAAATGGTAGAAATTAATGAAAATTTTTGTCAGAAATTATGTCGAAATATTTTCCGGAGCCTTTTTAGTATTCAATAATGGATAATGTTCTTTTTGTAATATGCACAAGTCTCCAGTCCTATATGTTCCATATACAGTGACTTTATGGTGTGTTCCCCGACGCCATGTCCCATATTATACGGGTTTAAGACAGACAACTGTTAATGCACGAAATAAACATTGTAAATCTATTGAGGACTTATAAAGTTGTAGTGCTTGAAAACTTATAATCTGGACCCTTATGATCCCTCCCTTATTATTATAAAATGGGAGAACATGGCGGGAAAAATTTGATTGGTGTGTCTATAAAGATTATAAAATTATAAAGAAAAAGAAAAAACGGATATGTTTTTGCATGGCTGATTATTATAGTGTGTATTTTGTTGCTGTACTGTTACACCACTGTCGAAGGGTAGGGGAGGGTGGGTGCCTTCAAACTCATTTAACCCCGCCATATACTGTATGTGCCGATTCCAAGTTAGGAGCGTAAATTAAATAGTACATTAATTAAACCGTTAGTTTTCTCGTTTGAAATGTTTTACATTTGTTATTTCTAGACTTTTTATAGTTGACTATGTGTACAGGCTTTGCTAATTTCTGAAGACCTTTTGGTTGTTATTTTGTGTGTCATTTTGGTCTCTTGTGATACAAATCATACAAGAATTATTTAATTATAACATAACTATCTGGACCTGTGATGTCAATTCTTATTCATTACCTGCACATTGGTTATTATATACGCAATATTATTAGTTTCATAGTGTGCTAGTGACCTAATACGGTATATATGGAGTCAGTAAATTCCATATGGGGTGAGAGCGAAGCTCGAAACCCCATATGGAATTAACTGACCCCATATATACCGTATTACGTCACTAGCACACTATGTAACGAATTTATCTTACCGACTATCTTAACGTGTGAAATTTAGACTAGTTACCTATCAAAATGAGCAAGTCTTCAATACCGTTAGCATTAAGAAACTACTTCCATTGATCCTAAAAAACAGATGCCAACAATAACAACTTGTTAGGTTTAAATGTGTTTTATGAATTGATTTCAATCTTCATCATCAATTGTCTACGTCTGTTGAGGATTTTTTCTCAGTACCGTTTTGTTTTTATAAAGGGACGTTACACCACTACTAACCTAATATGGAATATAGACGGTCTCCACACGGACGCTTTTAACCAATCATATTCCTAGAAATGTATAGGAGGTAAGATACATCACTATATATGTTGTTTTAAGATTTAATGAAAGTCTTGACCAATTTATGATATCTTCATCCTCGCAGTAAAAGTTAATTTAGAAATGGAAATGGAAATATATATTTATTGAAATCCGGGACTTGAATTCAAACACATCCATTATTAAAAAAAACAAAACAAAACATTTACGAAGTACCAAATATCAAATTAAAACAATGCATAGCTAAACTACCAAGATGAACAGAATAAAAAATCGCAGTTCTCCCTTTAAAAAATATATTTGTGCTATTGTTTTCCCTTTGATTGTATTATTTTTGATTTGACTCTGTATATGTGGATTCAGCTATCGGTTTTTTTTTGTTTTTCTGATATGCATGGGTCAAAAGGTGCAATTTGGTCGGAAAAGGAGTTTTCAGTATTTAAAGTGCATACTAGTAGTTTGTATTAATTGTATTAATTGTATGTCCTATTAACAACAAAACGTTTGTGTAGGCTTCTTGCCAGATTAACCACCAACAATTTTGTTGCGTCTTTGTCATATCTATTTGTATGTTTTAGTCAGTTGTGTTTGTATGTTATGTTTATTTACACAGGTGTTGCTGCTAGATCTAATTTTATTTAATTATGTCTGTTTGGGTTGATCATAAAATATTGTCAATATAATGGAACTATGTACAACTGTCATGCAATGGAGAGATTGGCCAGCTATATTTCCAGGTCATACACTCCATGTTCATGTCGGAAAATGTCTGTACTTATTCAGGAATATGACAGTTTTTTTTTCAATTCTATCTATTGGCTAAAACATGATTTTTGGACTTTCCACTTTTAAAAATACATTTGAATTTTGAATTTTTGTGGATACTTTTACGATATTGAGTTACACAAGACAACTAGATGAAAAAGAAATAATCAGACAATACATGCAATATGAATGTTTAATTTAGGAGACGACCATTCATGGTGTGTGGTAAGGTTTGTTTTCTTTGATGGGAGGGAGCTCTCTTTTTGGCTGGAGGATGTGTCATCTATTTTGATATTTTGAAAGCACGCTTATTGTTATTTGCGCTAAAATTAATTTTCACTTTTTTACACATTCGTTACCTTCATTTTGTCTTACAGAAAGTTTGTTTTCTACTTGTCTTATGTAAGATTTCTATTCAGACGAAGGCGTTAATCTAAAAAAACATCCTGCAACACTTCCCATACCCCAGTAAGTCATAACGTCGTCCCTTTAGTAAAAACGAGTTCAGATGCATGCGAAAGATTTATTTACTTTATACATTTAGCAATTGTTGGTTTGATTATTGAGAAAATATAAAAGACGTATCTGCCTGAATTGGGTATTATATAGATATAAGAAGATGTGGTATGAGTGCCAATGAGACAACTCTCCATCCAAGTCACAATTTGTAAAAGTAAACCATTAGAGGTCAAAGTATGGTATTCAACAATTATGTTTTGTTTTTTAATGATATACTGTATTGATAGATATTCATTTGTTACACATTAAAATTTTAAAAGTTAGTGAATATGTTAGGTTCATTGATCCAATAGAAGCAAACAGATCCATAAATGATCGTATTTGAGTCACAATTTTCCCGAAACAGGATGCTGTCAGAAGATGAACAACAGCTGTTGTACAAAATAGAGAGCGATATATAAGGTTACAAGATGAAGATATCAATGTCATAGGATATACATAAATCATCGTTTATATTGGTTGCTCTTTTTATGAACAAAATTGTTAGAAATGAAATAGTATGCACGATAATCTTGATGCATAAAATGTTTCAGCTATATCCTATTGACTTATTCAACAGTTTGCCGGATGCAGAAATGATTGTCATGTATGACTTTATTTGGTGACCTTGGGCGTACATTTGGCCACAGGATTGCGAAATTTCCACTACAGAAAACGTGTTAAGTCTGCCAATTGAACTCCATATTGAAAGCCAGAGGAAGAAAAATATGATCTTACTTAGAATTGTATTTAACGAGAAAAAATCATCTTTCTCATACTTCCACAAAATTTAATTTTCTAAAAATTGTGGAGCTTAAAAACAAACCTTAAACACATCAAACAATGTAAATCAATTTTTATTTATACATGCATTCGTGTATATAAGTGAACTCTTCGGCGTTTAAGGTATGAATACTGAAGTTATTTTACACTAGGCATTTGTTCATATTGCTAAGACTGTCTAAAATATGTTTATATTCACATACATTGTATGTAGTGAATTAAGGAAATTATGAAATCAAAAATGAAATTTTAATGAAATTTTAAAGTCTTGATGTTTTATTATATGTTATATAACAGGGTCCTTTCCTTAAGTAGTTTATGGAAGTAATCTTGTTTTAGAATTTAAATCTTTACATCTCTCATAGGACAACTTAAAAAAATGTCAAATTTTGAAACTGCCCAAAAGACATAGCTTAGCTCTCAATAGAGAGTTTTGATAAATTTTAATGTGACATTCAATTATAACGTTTTTGTTCTGTAGAATAAATGATGTTGATGTGATTGCCGATAGTCATAAGTGGAAAATACGTCAATCCTTATACAAGATATAACATGCATAACATGTTTACTACAACAAAACGTGAATCATATTAACGATTTATTGCGAAAAAAAGTAAAGCAGTCTTATTACATAGCACTATCAAAATGAAGAATAATGATTAGAGGAAACTGAATCAAAAACATTCTCTAAAACATAGACAAAATTTTGTTTAGAATGGCTGATTGAAGCATAGTTTACTTATACCAATGACATTCACACAAATGGTACTCCGCGAACAATAAAAAAGCCATAATAGTTTTATTCAATAATCAAATAACATCAAAGATCAAAACTGATTTCCCCCATTCGTTGACAATATACAATTTACTATAGTCTTGGTTGAAGCACAATGCGACAGGTTCCTTGATTCCATGATGTGAATTCAATGGTATGTCTAGTACTTTCCAATCCTGATCTATTCTATATCTGTCTGACTTTTTAAAATACCCTTCAAGTCTGTGTATGTTGTTCGATCCTTGTCCACTGACGTAGATGTGGCCGTTCTCGTCGGAGCATATGTCAGTGGGTGTATCCATGGTGACGATACTATCTATCTTATTTAATCGTAGATTTTGTCCGCTATACATGATATAATTTTGACCTCCGGTACAAGATAAAAAAGACTGTTCATTAACTGCATGGAACTTTATTACACATGGACCAATTTGTCTTCCTCTAGTTGAATTTGCGAGTGGAAGGCTACTGAAATAAAAAAAAAAAAAAAAACTACAGCATTGAAGCCATTTAAATACTTATGTGTTTAACGTGTAGAGTAGTCAGTACGGTTATTTATTACGTGTCATGACCTTTGAACTTGCTCTCAGTAACTTCAATAACTCTTACATTGACAGACAGTGTTGTCTTTTTTGTAAAAGATGGGCGAGAGATACCATAGGGACATTCAAACGCATAAGTTGAAAATACTCTGACGACGCCACGGGTAAAAAAAAGAAAAACATACAAACAACAGCACACAAAACACATTACAAGAACTTCATGACTGAGCAACATGAGCCCCACAAACAATTAGGGGTGATCTCCGGTGCTTTGGTAAAAGTAGGCAAATTCTGCTCCGCATGCGAGTTGAAAATTGTAGTTTGTGTTTCGTTCAACAGGTCTTAATATTAAGTTGCTACATCAGCACTATTGGGAGTAAGATGTAAAAAAAGGAAAGGAAAAGGATGTTGAAGGCCCTTAAAAATAATTTTCCCGGCCACTGTTCTCAGTCAAGAACTAGTACGTCATTTGATTTTGTACGGTTGATTAATTACATCCGTATCAAGCAGTTGTTTATATGTATGCAGTGTCCTTTCCATAACTGATATTGATGTTTGCAGTTTAATAATACATTAATAGAATTAAGACTATATATGTTAGGTGCTAATAAATTTTTGAATAACATTAATGTCACTGACAATCCAAATTGTACTTTTTGCCAAGAAAAATTAGAAACTTTTGAACCTTTATTTTGGAATTGTGAGATTGTTTAAACTTTCATTGTTGAAATTGACTCTTGATTTTTGTTTTGATAGTATAAGTGTTCTCTTTACCATAAAACATTTTCTGTTAAGGTATATAACAAAAGCATTAAGGGGGAATGCTGCAAACTTGATTCATTTGCAAATGAAGCAATACATTTTCAACTGCAAAGACTTTTAAAAAGCTTTGATATTGCAGACAGTGCAAAGTAAAAGAAAGTCTTTATAGCATTTGTGTAAAAAGAACAGAAAAAATAATTGCTGTTAATAATAAAAGAGTAGTGTGAATGATCAGTTATTTTTCACAATGTATATGTGTACATAAATTAGTAGAAATATAATTACAATATAATACATTGGCTCTTAAATGAGAAAATACTACATAATCCATCTCTGCAAATAAATAACCAAAAAAACCATTATATTTCAATTATTCTTTTTTTCTAAAAAATCTACAGCCATACTCAAAAACATATATTTATATTTTACAACTTAAACCACACAAACTATATATTTTTCTTAATCTTTGCATTTTTTATATAAGATAATTATATGTTGATAATCTTAATGGAAATCTTCTTTCTTATATTACTGACATGGTATATAATTTTTTTAAGTATGGAAAGTAAGAATAATTCGAAATACTCAGGATGTTCCTATCCCAGACATAGATTACCTTAAGTTAGCCGTATTTGGAGCAACTTTTTGTATTTTAGGGTCCTCGATGCTCTTTAACTTCGTACTTTATTTTGCCTTTTAAACTTTGTTTGGTTTCAAGCGTCACTGATGAGTTTTTTGTAGACAAAACGCGCGTTTTGCGCAAATATAAAATTTCAATCTGGTATCTATAATGAGTTTATTTATGTAGACGAAACGCGCGTCTGGCGTATCAAACTATAAGCCTGATACCGTTGATAATTATGTATGTTTATTAATAACAAATACTAACAGCTGTATACATATGTTTATTACTATTATTATACTTCATGTCAAAATGCCAGATTTTGATTGGTTGATACGAGGGAGACATTTTTTTGTCTTTCCTATGGCAAATACCATATTACCTTTCACGGAGACGCTTTGTCAAGTGTGCACTTTATTAAATACGGATGATTGTTATGTACAAGACGTCATAGTTTATTACTTTGAATTTGAAATTTAATAGACAGCAATAACAGAACATTCAGTATAATAAAGTAAATAACACATACCTGAGAGGGTGATAGAGCAGATTTTAACCCCTCGAACAGACATTGTCAACCTTGGCTTCGCCTCAGTTGACAATGTTTTCTCGGGGTAACAATTTGCTCTATCACCCTCTCAGTTATGTGTTATTTATATAATGTTAATGAGTTCCAGATAACGTACCGGTACTTGATGTTTTCTAAATAACAAATGTACAGATTAATAAAATATGATAAATTAAAAACGTAAAAGAATAAATACTAATTCTCCGAATTACTGATTCCATCGAATATAAAAAAAAGTCAGACTAAATATGCCTGATATCTATGACAAGCTAATTAACAACCCCAGGGTCGATGCCATTACTTGTATTTTTTTTCCCTGAGGGCATCACCAGCCCATGCAGTAGTCATTACTGCTTTTTCACATGGCATTATCATTGATCAGGTCATCATTATACATAAACTGTTTACAAAATGAGTGTCACTGATAAATATTTCGAAGACGAAACGCGTGTCTGGCGTGCAAAATTTCAATTCTGGTATATATAATGAGTTAAAATTTGACGTGAAAGATGGTTGTAACAATACCTCAGACTACGAAGTTTAAGATTTGCGTTTCTCTATTTTTTTAGAATTTCAAAGCTTTCAATAATAATCGCATACCATAAAAGTATGACCCTAAAAGTTTAGTCCTGTTCAAAAGTGAGAGTTGAAAGATGTTTATTACAGTATGTGTACCTTTCTGTAGCGGGTACTTATGTTTGCGTTTGTACCTTTCTTTCGTGGGTACTTATATTTGCGTATTTGGAATTGTCGACATATCTACTAAATTGCACGGTTTTACCGAACTTGAAACAAATACAAATAACGGTCTGCGTCAATGAACTTGATATGGATATGGGGATGGCAGAAGTATGTGTTGAAACATAAACTTTGATATTAGAAACCAAACTTATTAATGCAGTTTTGTCTGAAATTGATTTGGAATTTTGTATTCAATGTTATGAATTTTAAACACTATACACTGTATACTACTATAATCTATATTTAATATACATCAACATTGTATTTATGTTCGCGTGTATTTATTTTCGAGAAAATTGTCCTTCTGCTAAACATTTCGTGAGAATAAATACACCAAGAAAAAAGTTCATATACAGAACTAAAATGTTTGAAACGTTTTATCTTATCTTCACATATTTCACATTATCGTTATAATATATACTGGTCAGTATTTTATTATTTCTTCACAAAACGTTGCATGCCTGCTTCATAACTTAATATGAATAATAGGTTTTACAAATTCTTCGAGTCTTTGAGCTTGTCCTTATTATTTTTCTCAGTCAACTGTATAAGTAATCATTTAAAGACAACCCATCTCAAGATTTTGGATTAATGCCTCTTTTATTTTTCGATACACTATTTAAAAAGAAAAACGTTTTGCGAAGCTATTATGATTGGAAACTTTAAAAGATATATTCTTTAGATGATATTATTCGAGAAAAACCGGGTGTTCATCGAAAATAAACTTACATGTTATCGTTTTTCACAGCATATATATACGAAAAACCTTGTATTTTAACGCCAAGAAAACATGAAACTTTCTCTGAAAAATCCCGTCCAGTACTTGGGACTGCAGAAACAGAAAACACGGTAGTGCTTAGGTCGTTGCATGTTGCTTGGAAGAGTTCAACCATTCTGTCAGGGTCAATTTGCAGGACAGATCTGGATTTAGGTTGTGTAATATAGGCTATATTTTGACTCGTTATAGCAATATCATATGGTTCACTATCTGCGTTTAGCTTCTTTAAATAATTTCCAAGAGGATCAACTAATATCAGATTCTTTTTATCATAGTCACATAACAAAATGTTCCCCTTTATTGTAGCTGCTATACCAGTTATTCGACGGAAGTCGTGGTTGAATTGGCCTTTAAAAGAAAATCCATGTCTTAAATGTCCTGGTACTGCCAACACCTGTGCCATATCTGTAATGTTGTAAACAAAAATACTTATTTTAGTACATTTTCTTGAAAATATCATGGATACATTGTACAATAATCAAAAACAAAAACATTTAACAACACTTTTAAACTTTTTTCAAGATGTATTTTTATAAGCATTAGCAATTTTTGATTGGATAATGGTACTATATACTTCTCAAATGAAAGTTCTAATCTAAACATTTTTTCAGACCACCTGTTTCAATCACATTTTAATCAATACTAATAAAACGCCAAATAAACAACTATTGCAAGTACCGTCAGTGGTTGTGATACGTACTTCAGTAACTCAATGACACGCACTTGAACTTATATCATGAATAGAAACACAAAGACATTGAAAATCAAGTTTTTTGTTTTTCATGTTCTTACTTCATTAGTCGTTCGTAACCGATCGTGTAAATTACTTCCTTTTTGATACTTAGCATCAATAAGTATAGAAGCTTCTATGTGATAGAAAAAAGACCAAATGTATGCCTGCCAATAAAGTCCATATTAATTGTATGCATCTAATTTAGAGAACATATCACGTTTATTGTCTTCTTTTTTTAAGTTTTACGTGGCCCGAATCTGTACTGGTGATTGGTATTCATGTGTTAATATATGAGTTAAACATGCTAAATATATAAAGGAGTTATATAACGATTTTGTTGAGGGGTTTTTAACTTAAAGTCTGGAACATTATGATCTCTCCCTTCTGTTTGTAATGTTTAAAAGATAGGGTGGTGTTTCTTTTTAAAAGAAGAAATCCGATTTGTTCTTGCCAGTCAAAACATTCAGATTTGTTTCACAGTCATCAAAATTAAACAATAACGGATAGACAGACAAACAATATGATATACATATATTTTGAAAAAACAAACAACCACACACGAATATTTTCGAAAAGAAGTAGAAATCAGAGAACAGCTAAAGATAGACGATCCTATAAAGCTTCCGATAGTATCAAACACATTTTGACCATACTGTCCAAATTAGGCACCATTTATTTTCAAGTTAGTAGCTATCCAGGTGATTGCTGGAAGGTGTGGTATTGAATGAGCTTAAACGAAATATGATCTAAATATCATAAAAGGGAGTTTTGCTCTCACTTAAAGCATATGACGTCACAACAGTCAGTGCCTTTACTAAGTCAGACAATAACAAAGGTTTTAGTTTTTACAAAGTATGGTCTAAATAGGCAAAAAGGGACAACACCAAGGTTGTCAGTATCTATACCAAGTCAGAATATATATAGATAACCGTTATTTGTTGTTTTCTTTGATATATATTCTGTATATCAACCATTTTGAAAGAGTCAGTGTTAGTGCTTGATGTGGCCCGACGTACTTGTATACAGTATGCAATTGCTCTTCTCCCTGTTCATGTATCATTTACTTCAAAGATCAAGACTAGAAGAAAACATTGTGCTTTTCATTAAGTTACGATTATTAATGAACAACTTTGTCCCTGCTTCTGATATATGTATCCACTTATCTCACAAAAAAAAAAAAAAAACAATTACACATAAAGAAATATCCCTGCCTCATAAATATATTTTTAAATATCCCTTATCATTGTCCAAGATGTGTTTTATGATCCACCTTCTTTCAATCATATTTAACTAGGTACGAATCCAATACCAAATAATTCTTAGTTCTTTCAGTACTTGTGAGACGTTCTACAGTAAATAACACGAATGTATATCTTGACTAGAAACAACTGGACATTTTAATTACAAGTGATATTAACATACCTTTGTTGTCGAGTTACGGATCGCGCGGCTTCCTTGATAACTATAACTATCAATGTTTATTAAGGCCTTTTGTGTGATATAGATAACACTATGTCTATAATTGATAAAGGTCATTATACTTGTTCTAGTGTATGTAAATTGTAAACGAAAACATCAGATTAAATCTATTATTTGGTATTTTTCGGTTCATCTATGATCATAGCAATTCATCTATCAGATATGATCTAGCTATTGCATCAGAGAAGGATTAACATTATGAATTTTTATATTTGCAAACGTCTGTGTTGTATTTAAAGTACGACATATCTGTTTTCAAACTAAATTTGTGAAAGTACAATATAATATTGACGTCTAAAATTATTTTGCAAACAGAGTAATTTCTTTTTGTTTTTATTTGGCAGACCTGAAAAGCATAATATTCTTTTACGATTAATTATAGTTGTTTACTACTTCATATCTTCTTTGTTAAAGAAAATTACCTTATTTAAATAATACACTTTTGTCTATCTGTTGTTAAAAGCATTTTAACGAAAATAACAGGATTCAATTTAGCCAATTTCGATTTTTTTATGAACAGTTAGGTATGAAGTCAAGGGTTATCAGCATTTTTTGGGTGTCTTTTTATCATTTTTTCTACTTTGTTTATCTCATGGGCCAATTTTTTTTCAACTAATTGTTACCGTTTTTCCTTTGTATTATGCTATTACACCTCTATCCGAGGTGAGAGGAGACTTGAACACTCGCATTGTATTTTTGTAACCCCACCACATTATGAATTTGCTTGTCCCAATTCAAGTGCCTGTGATTCATAAGTTGTCGTTCAAAGTTGTCTGTCATATTTGTTTTCAATTTATGGTTTTCTAGTACATCAGGACATTAGTTTTATAATTCTATATACTTGTTTATTTTGAGTGATTGGCCGTACTGGAAGTGCCGTTATGTCGTTTGTTGGAAAAGATTCAAGATAATGGATAGCACCAGGCTACTATTTTAACCAATGTAAACAAATCAAACTTAAAAGAAAAAAAATACAGCAATCATCTGTATTGACTATATTTACAAAGTTATTGGATGGATGCCTTTGACCTTTCATTTTGTCGGAAAGTTTGAGAATATTTAGTGCAATATTTAAAAAAATGACCCCGTAAAAACTTCAATATTTTCTTAAAAGAAAATAAAAAAAATTCAAAATAGTTACGGATTACCTACCATATTTCACATACTGTATTCACTTATGAAGACATCTTTCAATAAGATAAATAACAAAATTACAAAATCGTATTAAACAAATGCATCAACTTTTAAAAGATTCATAAGGCCCCTGTTCTAATTGTAGTTGTAGTTCAGATTGAAATGAAGCAGGCAATAACAAGGCAATACTGAATTTTTGTATTTCTTCAGCTACCACCAACAACCTGAACTTGCCATACCATAACAAATTACCAATGGACCTTTGATTATTTAAACTTGTAACTGCAAAAACAATTGTACATGTTGTAAGTTGTTTTCCTGTGATATCTGTTTTTCATAAATAATAAAGAAACTTGAGGTAAACTGAATATGCATTTGTATTCCTTGGGTTTCCTTGTTTCTCGTCAGATTAAAAGCAAGCAATTAAGAAACTAAGCATCTAAGCTGTTTCTGTATGCATTACAGTGACCTATAGTTGTTAATTTCTGTGTCATTTGGTCTCTTGTTTAGAGTTGTGTCATTGGCAATTATACCACATCTTCTTTTTATATTACACAAACGTGCCTTCAAAACACGAATTACGAATAAGGGTAATATCATCTGTTCTATGCATATCAGATTGAAATATATTTAATAAAAACAGTTTCATCAAACGTAATGAATGTACCTAAATCGAAATTGTCACCATCAGGCCGTTTTAAGCTCCCCTTGTGCGAATCCCAGTCAAGTAAGCCATTGATATTTCTTGTCGTCTGTTGGTGTCGACCTACAATTAAATTAAAAACCTACAACGTGAAATGTTACCTAAATAATTTTACAGTGGGAAATTGGGTCAAGATAAATATAAAAAAAAATTGTTCAGAGAACAGTATAAGGTCTTTCTACCTTGTATATTGAAAACTGCATTATCTAAAAACTTTAACAAAAAAAGTTTTTCATTGTACATTGTATTTCCCCTTTATCGTGTATATATACGAAGAATACTTGCCTTATTTAGGTACGAACAAATAATCGCTTAAATTGCACGGAAAATATATTGCATCCATATACTTTGATTGGAATAAAGTATATACTATGCTTCGTTTGGTCTACAAAATATCACTTCCAGGTCATTTGATAGGTAAAGTCACTCTGAATCTCAAATTATATGGACTCCTTGTTCTTTTACTTGAACGATTTGAGCTGGTATGTTATTTCAAATTAAATTTGGTTGAAATATACAGCAAATTTCTAAACAGAAAATAATATTTGTGTTTATCTCGTGAGAAAATGAAAATAATTAACAACAAAAATACAACCACATAATCCAATAAACCTGTGATAATTCTGCTTATATTTGTACCAAGTTTCTCGAAATCCAACCAGAAATGACCCCAAAATATTTTTTTGAAAAAATGTATATATTGTAAAAAACCTCAAGTGACAAATACTTACGGCCACACTCTGTATGTCATATTTTATGTGAATAAAACATATATATATATATATCGAGCTACAATTATAGATGATCTATCATTATATATAATTAGTAGATTAACTCATCATAGATATCAGAATTGGAATTTTGTTTACTAGGCGCACATTTCATCTAGAGGAGATTCATCAGTGACACTCGATAAAATAGCTAGTCAGAAAAGTCAAACAAAGTTTGAAGTTTTAGTGGATTCAGAATAGATGATGAACTGACAACCTTACTGACGGAACTAGTTGAATCTGCTACTTCTTAAAAATTCTCTTTGTGTTTAAAATTTAACTTCACTTATAATAAACTACTTGTATGGTAAACTGATCCTATTCGTATTCCGATTCATTCCGTAAATAAATGTTAATTTATTGCTGATGAATTTTGACAATGAGAATAAATATGATATCTTGTTTCTTGTCGTATATTGGTATCACGTCGTCTTCGTCGTTGTCGTCGTCGTCGTCGTTGTCCGCGTCGTCCGAAGACATTTGGTTTCCGGACAATAAATTTAGTATAAGCAAATAGAAATCTGTGAAATTTTAACACAAGGTTTATGACCACAAAAAAAAGGTTTTGGGATTGATTTTGGGGGTTATGGTCCAAACAGTTAAGGAATTAGGGGCCAAAAAGGACCAAAAAGGGGCCAAAATAAGCATTTTTACTAGTTTCGAGACAATAATTTGTGGAAAGGTTTATGGATCTCTCTGAAATTATACCATAAGTTTCCATACCACAAGGGGATGGTAAGAATTGTCTTTCTTTGAGGAGGTGGGGGGGGGGGGAGTAATGGCTCAAACCGTTTTAGAATTAGGGGCAAAAAAGGGGAAAAACAAAGGTGTCCTGGTTAATGGACAATTACTTAAGTACAAAACATAATTCAAAAGCAGTGTAAGGGAGGTAATGCAAACACAACATAGACAATTACCTCCTTTACACTGCTTTTAAATTATTTATAAAGAAATGTTGTATTGTCTTGAGGTGATTAGCTGTCAATTTAATTTTTAGAAGTCACTATTTTAAAAATGCTGATTAAAGTTATTAAATTTCAGCCATGATTATGTATGTCATTTTCTATTTTTAGATTTTTATGATGTATTTAAATTGGTTATAACGGTTGCAAACTCCATTGAAAATTTGAATTGAGATTATGACCATATCTTGAGGGAAATTAATTTTTTTTAGAAAAGGGGAGGGGGGGGGGGGGGAGGTTAGAAAAGGGTGGGTTTTAGTACAATTTGTTCTCAAGATTTCAGAAATAAAAAAGAAAATTTCTTCAAACATTATTTTTTTTTTGCAAAAAAAGGGGAGGGTATACATTTTTTTAGGGTGGGATGGAGGTAGTGGGGATGGGGAGGGAGGTCAATTTGCAACAGCATAGTGTTTTCGACAAAAGAAAAAAAACATGAAAAATGAATATAAATTTAAATCACACAACCAATTGAAGTTCTTTGACTACAGTTATTCTGTGTCAGAAACCTATTATGTGTCAAATATTTAATTAAAATCTAAATTCAGACCTGCATCAAATGCAAATATTATGTTCATTTTTGCCCGAACTGCTCAGGGCTGGACCTCTATGGTCGTATTCAGCTGCGCTCGGCCACAAAAATTATATATGTCTCGCACGTGTTAAATTTTTTGATGAAAGCTTTTTATTTGAATCAACTTAACATGATATTATATGGCATAGAAAAAAAGGCATACGGGGACGCGTGGATAAATTTGCCATCGAAGGCTACGCGTA